CCTGCCCCCCCCGGTGTCGACGCCCCTGCTCTGTGTGCAACAAGACTTTCGCTACATCTAGCAGCCTACAGAGACATCTGCGAAACCACACAGGCGAGAGGCCATTCGAGTGCGCCATGTGCAACAAGACATTTGCTGAATCTAGTACCCTGCGGACTCATCTGCGAACCCATACGGGAGAGAAGCCCTACGAGTGCTCCGTGTGCAACAAGACGTTTGCTACACTTGGCACCCTTCGAGGCCATCTGCCAACACTAGAGTGGGTCGTAGGAAAAGGATTTTGGAAATTGAAAACGTAATAGTGCGGAAAAGTTGCCCTGTCCGATGACAAATTCAACGCATTTTAACTTTTTGAGATCGGATAATATTTCTCGATCCCGCAGAGCGTTTAACACTAGAAGGACCGGGATTTTCGTATACCTAGAAGGACCGGAGGGGTCATTTTGACCCCTCTACGATTTTTGGCCGTTTTTATGGCTTCAAGGCTGCCGTTTTATCGCACATGATTAAGGTTGTGTGTGTTTAAAGGTACCTGATGCCATGACGTGACATTGGTTAGGTTTAAAGTGCGTTTAGGTAGGCAACCCGCACGGCATAAAACCATTTTTTTGCAATTTTACAGCTATTTCTGTTAACTGTTCGCACCGTTTAAGACATTTTTAAACTTTAAAATTAATATCCGCCTTAGTACACATTTATAAGCACGTGATATTTAGAACAAATAAGTACTCTAAAAGCGGGAGTGTGATTCACACAGAAACATTTTATTTTTTACCAATTTTGCACTGACAAAAATGTACGTGGCAGTTTTGGCATTCGCAAAACCATCCGTACTTTGTGCTAGACGCCCCCCTTTGCCAGCAGAACACGAGTCCGGTGACACAACTAGCACTAAAGCCTTGGATGTGTTGTAATTTAGAAACGGGTTTTTGTGACGTGCGTGTTGCCTACCTTACCCGAATGAAGGAGTGAAAAAGTGTCACATGGCCGACCAAAAGTCATAAGCCACCGTACATAACAAATACGGTCAGCCTTCTGATGGAAAAGTAAGTCCTCGTCAGTTTACACTTATAAAATCTCGTGAAGGGGTCAAAATGACCCCCTCGGTCCTTCTAGGTATAAGTAGCAATATCTTCCAAAGTTCTTGTCGCAGAGACCTCCCATTTTGCGTCCAAGCGTCTTTCGGTAGTACATGAAAAGTCGGAAAGTGATGAATCGCTCAAAAAAATAATTCGTCGTTCTTTTGGCAGTTAAAGATAAAAAGGGGTCATTTTGACCCCTCCGGTCCTTCTAGTGTTAAAGTTTTGCATGGTTTTCTTATGGGGAAAAGGCTCAAAAAGTGAAATTTCTGATTTTCGGCTTTCCATCAAACGTTTTTCGAAAACGAATCTCAGAAATGCAATCTACGCAAAAAAACGCGTCTAATGATGTGCCACAGTTGAAATTTGAGTGAAGCGTTCGGAGTCATTCAGGTGCCACTTTAACTTAAAACTTACACAAAAATGGCTTTGCTGGCCTAAATTTGCACTTACGATCGACTTTACCCTTCCTTCAAATTTCAAGTGTGGCACATCGCTATACGCGTTTTTTCGCGTAGATTGCATTTCTGAGATTCGTTTTCCAAAAATGTTTGCTGGAAAGCCAAAAATCAGAAATTTCACTTTTTGAACCTTTTCCCCATAAGAGAACCATGCAAAACTTTAAACGCTCTGCGGGATCGGAAAATATTATCCGATCTCAAAAAATTAAAATGCGTTGAATTTGTCATCGGCCAGGGCAACTTTTCCGCACTATTACGTTTTCAATTTCCAAAATCCTTTTCCTACGACCCACTCTAGCCAACACACACAGGAGAGAAGTCATTCGAGTGCACCGTGTGCAACAAAAGTTTTGCTAGATCCGACCACCTGCAAAGTCATCTGCGAACCCACACAGAGAAGCAATTCGAGTGCTCCGTGTGCACCAAGACTTATGCTAGATGGAGTTACGTACGGATACATATGCGAACACACACAGGAGAGAAGCCATTTCAATGCACTGTGTGCAACAAAACTTTCGCTTTATCTGGAACCCTGGAAACTCATTTGCGTACCCACACAGGAGAGAAGCCATTCGAGTGCTCCGTGTGCAACAAGACTTTTGCTTTATCTGCAACCCTGAAAACTCATTTGCGTACCCACACAGGAGAGAAGCCATTCGAGTGCTCCGTGTGCAACAAGACTTTTGCTTTATCTGCAACCCTGAAAACTCATTTGCGTACCCACACAGGAGAGAAGCCATTCGAGTGCTCCGTGTGCAACAAGACTTTTGGGAGACACAGCCAGGAGCGAGCTTTTCTGAGGAGATGTTGCTGCGGTGGTGGATTGGCTACCTGCTTCCGAGGGTCCACGCAAAGGGATAGGCGGGACCCAGCCGACCCATGTGTTGCGGTGGTAGCTGAGGAGGTAATAGTTCAGAAGAGCTCCCATAAGAAAAGCTCGCTCCTAGTTGTGTCTCCCTGCGAAATCATCTGCAAACCCACACAGAGAAGAAATTCGAGTGCTCCGTGTGCAACAAGACTTATGCTAGATCGAGTTACGTACGGATACATATGCGAACTCACACAGGAGAGAAGCCATTCCAATGCACCGTGTGCAACAAGACTTTTGCTCTATCTGACACCCTGAGAACTCATTTGCGTACCCACACAGGAGAGAAGCCATTCGAGTGCTCCGTGTGCAACAAGACTTTTGCTATATCGAGCCTCCTGCGGAGTCATCTGCGAACCCACACAGGCGAGAAGCCATTCCAGTGCACCGTGTGCTGCAAGACAGTATCTGGAAACCTGCGGAGACATTTACGAACCCACCGAGGAGAGAAACTATTCTGATACTTCCCTTTTTTAGAAGACGTCAATTTTTACAGTTGCCGTCGTTATTACTTTGGTTAATTGATCTATGCGTTTAAAGTTTATCTTCTATCGGCTTGAGTAACTGATTCTATAATACCTGTAGACTCTCTAGGCTAGATTGCGTGCCCAACTACATTTTGTTACTACTTATTTGCGCCACAGTGCCAATGATGGTGTAGCTCAAGTGGGACGGCCAACAACTAAGTCTGTGAGACACAATATCATTGATACAAAAATGTCTTTATTGGGACGCTTGCTTAAACTTAAAAGCTTAACAAAATGCTATGTGGACCTTTCCCTCAAGTCCTACTTTAACCTCTTGCCGGGCAAACACCACAGTAACCTGCAGTTACTATTGTTCAGTTTTTATAAACCGAAATATACTGGAAACACATTTCCTTTTCCCGTGAAAATTGGACTTTTATTTGAATTTTGTCAGAGTGGTATGTTCCATTCGTTAACTTGATTTTGAATTTTGCTTCCGCTCGCTTGTTGGAAGTTCATAGTCTACAAACGTTCTTTCGAAAGTGCTCTATTTTGCTAAGATTGACCAAATTACTTCAAGCATTTTTGCAATAGGTAATATTTCATGGAATTATGGGACTTTTATACTGAGAGTATATTAGCATGTTTTGCGCATGTCTCCTCCCATAAAGTAAGCTTAATGAGTTACAAATTTACTCCTTTAATTTGCGAATATAGTTGCGCGTGGTATTTTTTTTACTTGTACATCAGCTGACTTAAAATGGTGACGTGTTGAGTAGCATTTGTCCGCCAATATGGTGATGATTTTATTTAAAAAGAAATCAGTAAACGTTTTTCCGTGTGGTAAAAATGATAAGTGCATATCATATTCACATTCCTGTGTGTGGAGAGCCGAGTTTGTGTAAGGTTCCTGGAGAATCGATTGGCAACACCTGAGGACATTGGCACCAGAGCCACGGAGTGACCTCGACGCGGGAGCATGATGCGCGGGACCATGCAGCAAAAGCTGTACAATAAACGCTCATCCTCTCTGTACCCTCCTGTGCATGTGTATGTCCGTGTCCGAAAAATAAAAAAAGTCGCCTCTGAGTTAGTAAGACCGTGTTCAGAGCTTGATGCGCTGACCGTGCAGCTAATCACGAGAGAGAGAGAGAGAGAGAGAGAGAGAGAGAGATGGAGTTAACATGAACGTGTGTGTGTGAGCACTCTGTCTAATAAAATACTAATGCCGTGATTAGGTGTCATTACCATAAATCCCACTAGGAGATGGAACCTGTTCCGCGCTGACCCCGTCCTGCCCGCTGCCGGCCGGCCGCCGCCGCGCTGGCCCGCCCGACCTGAACCTGTCTATCAGATCTCCATCTCTTACGTTCAATGTTTACAAATGGTTGCATTACGCTCTTTGTGGTTCGGAGGTCAGCCCGTGTCTGTGTGTCTCTGCGTGCGAAGACGTCGGCCACCGCCTGCAGCGTGCATGCACACGGCACATGATGTAAGTTACGCTGTTATAAATATGTCAAATTATGCGAGGCAGACTTATGATGCAGTGTAGCAGGATGCAACGCAAACATGCGTGTTTACCGCGGCGCGCGGGATGTTTTTTGTTTTTGTATTTTTCCTTTTCTTCCTTTTGCAGGCGCGGGCTTATCTTTGCTATCGGTGGCTGCCCTTGACTTTGACTGCATGTCATGCCTTCAGCTGAACGGGCCACAGTCTCCTTCCCTTTGGCGCCACGCCTCGAGAAGACTCCCGTGCAGTAGGAGCTGCCTCGCGGGGCGTGATCAGTCGGTGAGTCCCTGTTGACCTCAGTCCACTATCGGCCGTGTCGTTTTGAAAAGTGTCATGCGTATGCGTGGCAACACGTTTCGATTCGAGATTATCGAGCAATATCGATCCTTATCGTTGTCCTGTCAGCGGGGCGCGCGCTCTCACACCCCCAGCATTCGCGAACGCGTGATCCGCCACCTCCGCTGAGCTGGCACCTGACCTGGCTCTATAGTGTGTTTTACCGCACTGTAAAGAAAATTGCTGTAAATATACAGCGAAAATGTGATTAATTTAGTTAGCAGCACATACTGCATTTTTACAGGCATTACTGTAAAACACAACGTTAAGCAAAATCTCGGAAAGAAAGTTTCCGACCGAAAGCAGTTACTTTTGTTTTGCACCTGTAAAGAAAAAGTTGCAATAATACGAGTGTCCTGTTTTGGAACGAAATGTGTTGCTAACACAATTAACTACTCCTTTCTTGTAAATTACAGCAAAGTAATACGAAGTAGTTTTTGTTGTAGGCCAAAAAAGGCCGAATATTAGAAGTTTCGAGAGGGTTCAAATGATAACAACATTTCTGTTATATAACAGGAGTGTCAATCCCGCAGATGTCGTCAGGTTACAGTTATTTTTAACAGTGCGTCCAATTGCTTTTTTCTTCCGTTTATTTTCGTCTAGAAAATGAACACAACATATTGTTGAAAATTATTTCCACCTCAGTTATGACGGCTTTCCAAACTAAAAATATTTCCTTCTTCCGAACGAGCGGCTCGGTATATTTTCGGCGGTGTCCTTCTCTCGGCAGGTGATTCATACCTGGCCGTTCCGATCGGCGCGGTGGTTGTGTCCAGCCCCACGGGGCGGATCGCTGGCGGATCGCGGCTGGAATGCGTCTGTGCTGGAGCCGGGCTGGAGGGCTGGCGGAGGGGCTGGACGTCGCCTCATCAGAAGTCGGCGCGCGTCGCGATCGGCAGCCGCAGCCCTAATTCGCCAATAGCATTCTTTGCACTCTCGGCGGCCGGAGCCAAAGGCTCATGTGTAACACACTTCGGCATGCGCGCGCCGGTGGAACCATTTGTCTGGGCAGCTCTGGCACGCGCAGTCCGGAAGGGTGGCCGCCGGCCTTGTGACGTCATCGGTTTGCCCCCCGAGGTCCGCGACGTCCCGAGATGCCCGCGATGAGGAC